GCAAGTCGCTGCCGTATGTGGATTGGAAGTTACGAATTTTTAAAAGAGAGTGTGCAGTTCTGTGAACTGGTTCATTTTTAGTGCATTATTGACCAAGTGGCCAAAAATCAGGATCTTCTGCGATTTCGGCAAGATTTTCAGGGTTTTGTGCTCCTTTTGTCTTCTACTGGGTGTGTGAGTTACAAGTCGTTGCCTTATGTGGATTGGAAGTTGCGAATTTTTAAAAGGGAGTGTGCAGTTCTGTGAATTGGTTCATTTTTAGTGCATTAGTGACCAGGTGGCCAAAAATCAGGATCGTCTGGGATTTCGGCAAGATTTTCAGGGTTTTGTGCATCCTTTGTCTTCTACTAGGTGTGTGAGTTGCAAGTCGCTGCCGTATGTGGATTGGAAGTTATGAATTTTTTAAGATAGGCGTGCAGTTTTGCAAGGTCCTTTACTTTTGGTGCATCGTTCACACGCAGGTCCAAAGTACGACTATCGGGTGATTGGAGTCAATATTTCAGGGTTTTCTGTCCCAGTTGCTTTCTATAGAGTGTGCGAATTTCCAGTTGCTGTCTTATGTGGAATTGACGTTATAATTTAAAAAAAATGGGCATGCAGTTGGGAAAAACCCTCATTTTTGATTCATTCGCAGGGTTGTTATAAATCAGAATCTTGAACGCTAGTATCCTCTATAGGGTGTGTAAATTGGAAGTTTTCTTCATCAAACATCTCGTCTGGCAAGGGAAGACCGAATGAACCATTCAAATATTTTCGTTAAAAGGTGGTAGACCAAGGCCAACCTAAACCACATCAACCCAAACATTTCTTCTGCTCTTTTGAACAGTGTACAGAACATTTTTCGCTTGAATTCGCAGAGGTCTATTCCTAAGGGATCATCAAGATTCTGAGGCCTCTGGGGTTGAGTAGACAGAGTGGATAGTTTCAGTTTCGTCTTGGAGCCATTTGAAACACCCCACATACCGCTGAAGTGAACATTGAACGTTACCTGTGGTTAGGGAAATATCTGTGGTTTTCTGCCTGTGGCCCAAAACCCGGAACTGTGGCAATTGGACCTCGTTGCTAATCCCGACGCTCGTCGGTCCCGTTTGCCACTTGTAAGTTATGTCTTTCATCGTGTATCCGACTATCCCGGCCAACAAAACAATAAAAACTGTCACAGAAATTCTACCAGATAGATCGAGGAAACGGGGCATCTTTCGCGCAAAGGATGCTGAGGTGGCGACGCATTTAAATGGCTCGTTTTGTTGCAACATTCTGGCTCACCCTGTAGGGTATGTTTTCCAGTGTGACTTGCACGTTAACCACAAGCCATTCTTTCATTGCCTACACCCTTTGAACACTTCGAGAAGATGCATTTTATCGTGACAAATCTTGCACTTCTACTATGGTAAAACTATTGAATGGCGTCGAAAATGTACACGAAAAAAACAGAAAAAACACATATATTACAGTAACAGAACGAATAAACGATGTTGAGGTAAAGAAACGGATGGTCTGGTAACGCTGACGGAACATTTAAAACGAAAACACCAGAAGCGTGTAAGGCGGAAGCTGGTGAGGAAAGCAAAACGCAAAAGTGATCTCGTGCAAGTGCATGCTTGAATTTCCAGCTGATCTCGTCTAGATTTTTTCTGGCTCACCATGTAGCTTTTCGTGCAGTTTAAGAATCTAATCTGAAGGAAAACTTTCTAAATTTTGGCGCGCTTGGTGGTTTTTTCACTGGAAGCCAATTTAAAGTTCCAAAGTTGCGCAACTGAAATTGCTTCTAACAAAATATTTTTAAATCCTCAATCAATGGGTCATTTTGAGTTATTTATAACAATGAACTTTAGGAACTCGAAAATTTCAGCCTAATCGACTTTAAATGATACGGAAGTTGCTCTTTAGTTTTGCCTGATTTCTGGAAAAAGTTTCACAAAATTAAAAAACAGGAAACCCTGAATCGATAAATGTTTAAAAACAAAAATAGTTTTGTCAATCGCGTTGCGTTCTAAACATTGTTGTTAAATTCCAAATCAAATTCATTCCTGGGTTTCAGTCATTTATTGTCTCTAT